ACAACAACAACATCAACAACAACAACAGCAACAGCAACAGCAACAACAACAACAACAACAACATTAACAACAATCGCGAGACTGGAGGATGCCGCTTTGTGATGTTCTACATCGGTCAAAATTTGCCGGTTCTTGCTGAGATAAACACCGACCAAAGCAATAAATTGACAAGAACCGTCATGTCGAGAAGACCGTGCGGTTCACAACTAACCAAAGCATTGTAAACTGCCCAGCAGTCTGAACACTTGTTGATTGCTGCTATCTACAACCATAACTACCAACTGGCCCTTCCAGCATCTTACAGACCGCAAGAACCATCCAGACACAGTATGGGCAATGTCCTAATGTGCAAAAGAGAATCCAAAGTACCACAGAAAGATCATTCGAGCTCAAAAACCGAGCTGTATAGGACCCTACCGAAGCCAAAAAACAACTCAGAGTTTCGTCATTCGATCCCGTGCCGTCACTTTCATTCTCTGAGGTTTCTGGCTTTCCTGTCATGAAGGATAACATGTACAGATGTATACAGTTCACACAGAATGTACATCCTGTACTAGTATTACAAGTATAGTACATACAAGCACACACGAACTCGCAGGTTACGAGGTAACAAGAGCAATGCCCAGCATGCACTTGTGACACGAGTTGTTCACAGATTGGTCGAACCATCGATCAGATGAGCCGGTCTTGACATTGGTTTCTCCTTTGTTTAGGCTTCCCGCAGACTTAACGGTGCCATCTTGCTCCACAAGCTGACGGCCTGAATTGTGTGGGGCCGTTCTGAATCAGGACCCCATGTCAGCTCGCTGCTAGCTGCAGTTACTGAAATAAAAAATACACTAAAACAGAAAAACAAGAACCAAGCAAAACCCAGCGCCCGGCACATGGGGATTACGATTCCGACGGAGCTGAAGGCTTAGAATGTGCATCTTGTTGGGGGGTACTTAGGGTTTGGGTTGGTGTGAAAGTGAAGGTTGGCACCAACAGCTGACTTTGTGTGCAACTTGGGGCAATATTGAAAGTTCGGGTTGATGTTCATGCAATGAAACTGCACCTAGGACCATGGAACTTAGTAAGTAAGGTCACGAGTGCCTTATTTGGGGGGTTACAACCACAAGTATAATTAGCTACCTTCCTTATCACCTTAGGTACTAAGTCCCATGATCGCAAAAAGCCCCAAATCCTAAACCAATCTAGTACCCCTATAGATCCCTTAAAGGGACCCTCAGAACCTTAGTTTCTAAGTCCCATGGCCCTTTTAAGTACACCTCCAGCCTGGCCCCCTGAATCCAAGATCATCAAATTGGTGAGGGTGATGCTTAGGGCTTAGGGCTGTAGGGCTATAGCTATAGGGTTTAGGGTTTAGGGTGTCCTTACGGAGGCTATGAACTTAGTGTTCAGGAGCTTTTGGGTCTGAAGCCTAGGGTTGGGGATTTTGGGTTCGGAACACCAACCATGCCCGCGCGACATGCTTTCATCAACTGGAAGCAGTGTACTTCTCGTGCTCAAAGGAAAACCCAAAGCTTCTGGTGGCAAATCGGCTTAAGATTCAGCTGTCTTGGGAATTAGCGTCTTTGGCTTAGGTTTTGTCCACGGGAAACTCTCCCTCAACACTAAGTCCTTAAGCCCCAAATCGTAAACCCCATCCCCTAAACCCTAGACTCCTAGTAAATCCCCTAAACCTGCTAAACTCAGCCTGTATCTACAATCTTGTGAGTTCGGAACATACTTTTGGGGGCCAGGTAAGGATCCTGTACTCTACAACCCGCAAGCCCCAGGTTCAGAGTCTTCAATACCACAACATATGGGCCTAAGCAACGGCGGGTCTCGGTGATTGAAACGTATACACCTTTCTCTGAGCTTAAACTGTAGACTAGCTACATGACTTTCTGCGTGACAGAAAAACCCCGAACCGTAAACCCCTCAGACCTAAAATTTTAAACCGCAATCGGCCGTAAACCCTAAACCCTAAACCCTAAACCCTAAACCCTCCTAAACCCCCCTAAACCCCTATTCCGCTCAACGGCCTTCGACGGCTGATGCGTCTCTTTCTGCAGCAGAAGGAGGGCCTTTGAATGACCCATGGGGAAGTCTGACTCAATGCCTGGCCTACTATAGGGGCCTCAATAATTAATTACCAATACCATTGTGGGGGTTCCTTAGTATGATTATCGTATAATATACCAATTTTAAAGCCCTATTCAAATAGTTAAGGCCCTTACGTTACTGTAACATGGGGGCTGGCTGTGTCAACGGGTTCCTCAGTGCGGATTGGCAGAATACTTTGATCAAGGGCCTTATGCACTAACCTTAACAATCGGAACAGCTGCTGGGGTATGCTGGCCTGAACCTTAAGGGCCCTAAACCCTGAACCCCCAAACCCTAAACCCCAAACCCCTAAACCCCTAAACCCTAAACCCCTAAACCCCAAATAGCTTCGGGGATGTTGAGGTCCCGAGCTTCTGGTTGCAGTCCGTGGTGTAGGGATTCACGCCTAAACATGCTTAAGGCTTAAGGTTCAGGGTTCTGTTTATGTTTAATGGTTCAGGGTTCTTGCTTTTTTATAGGCGGAGATGTGCTTTAAGGGTTCAGGGCTTCGGGGTTCAGGGTTTAGGGTGTCTAGTTTAGGGTGAAGGTTTCAAGTCAAGTCTGCCTATAGTCTCCATTGTAGTTCCTTTTTGGTGGTTACCTTTTAGGAATCTCAACAGAACACTGGTTACACCAAATAAAGGTACTACAATGGAGACTCTGGGTAGTGCTCAATGTTCTCAACGGCTTCGGGTTTAAGCTGGTGGGTTTTTGGCTTTGGCTGTAGGTGAAGCGGTCCAGGTCAGGGGGAGGAGCGTTTAGGGTTTAGTGTTCAGGGTTTAGGATTTAGGGTTTAGGCGTAAGCGTTGTGCAACAAGCTTTGTTTGTACCGGGACGAAGGATCCTTTGAGGGAAAGCTTGGTAAGCAGAGGGCATCAAATATGCGACTCCAGTTCGGACCCTAAGCATTATGAACTTTCGACGATCTCAGAGCTCCAGTTGATCCGGATGGGAATCATGCAAGTAAGTAAAGCTTGGCAGCTGTTTGTGCACTTCAGCAAGAGCCGTCACCCACTTGGAACCCCATTCTTTATGCTGCAGCAGGCGGCAAAAGCCGACAA